GGTGTGGAAACTGACATACAGAAAACATGGCAACAAGCTCGTGCACGAACGTGACCTCACATGTGGCAACACGCATGTCAACCACCATGGGAACACAGCGTCACGTCACACTCTCAGCCTGTGCCAGTGCACATGGAAACGAATACGTGGAATAGGCATGTCAGCCGTCATGCGTGGCCCAAGTGCCAACACCCAGGCCCACCCACACACGCGACACACATGCTCAGGTATTAAAGCTGGCCACCCACGCGGCTGTCTGCGTCAAAAGCCCCACGGAAAGTGGCAGGCGTGAAGCTGACCGCACGTGCCAGCACGCGTGTAAACACGCATGCCCTGCAGCCCACACCCCAGGCCATCTCTCCAATCCCCCCAATATCTGCACTCCTCCCCAGCCAGAGCCCGCCCCGCCCCCCCGTTACCTCTGGGCCTCCAGCTCCATCCCGCTGCAGCGTTTATTGGGTCGCAGGGGTCGGGACTGCAAGGAAACACGGGTCAAAGATCCCCCTGCTCACCCCTGGGCAGTGCAACACCAAGCCCCTCCAGCATGAGGGGGTCGCTGGGGCCAGGACCTCCCTGCCCCCCAGGCCTTTCCCTGCCCACCGCTCCCTGATCTGTGCCAGCCTCCCCCCACGCTGGGCTAGGGTCGTTATCCAGGGCCACGGGTGAAGGAGGTGGGGTGGAAAGGGGAGGAAAGGCCCACAGCTAGGCAGAGCTCACCTTGCGCACCCCCCCCAGATGCTACTCAGATGAGTAAGGGCTATCTGGGTGGGGCGGGGGGAGCGATTCACTTCCCAAACTACCTGCTACGGGTTCCAGATGTTTCACATCTGCATGAGGATTACCTGCAGCTGCCGTTATTCCCACCAGATGTTCCACATCTGGGGAGCTGGACTATTTGTGCATGTTACCCATGCCGGAGGTTCCACATCCAGGTGAGGATTATCTGCATACCCCCATTATTCCCTCCAGATGTGTCACATCTGCATTAACTGCATACCCTCTTTATTCCCTTCCAGATGTTCCACATCTGCATTAATTGCATACCCTCTTTATTCCCTCCAGATGTATCACATCTGCATTAACTGCGTACCCTGTTTATTCCCTTCCAGATGCTTCACATTTGCATGAGGATTACCCGCACGTTGTTATTCCCACCAGATGTTGCACATCTGCACCGGGATCCACACCCCACCGTTATTTCCTTCCCGATGTTCCACATCTGTGGGAGGACCATCTGTGCATCCCCACCCCCGTCCAGATGCCCCCCCCGGCCCCACCCCCTACAGAGGTTTCGCAGTCTCTGACCTTCCCGAAGTGCTGGGTGATGGGCAGACGGCTTTGCAGGCACTCAGACTGGGTGCTCCGGGGCAGGATGGGGCCTGAGAGCTGGTCGCACTTCAGGGAGCCGCCTCGCTGCAGGGCTGAAGCCTGGCCCAAGTCCTGGAGGGGGGAACGAGGGCCGGGCAGGAGGACGGTGAGCAGACTCCCAGGCAAGGCTCATAGACTTATAGACTTTAAGGTCAGAAGGGACCATTATGATCTTCTAGGCTGACCTCCTGCACAACGCAGGCCACAGAATCTCACCCACCCACTCCTGTAACAAACCCCTAACCTATGTCTGAGCCATTGAAGTCCTCAACTTGTGGTTTAAAGACTTCAAGGTGCAGAGAATCCTCCAGCAAGTGATCAGTGCCCCACGCTGCAGAGGAAGGCGAAAACCCCCCAGGGCCGCTGCCAATCTGTCCTGGAAGAAAATTCCTTCCCGACCCCAAATATGGCTAAACCCTGAGCTTGTGGGCGAGACTCACCAGCCAGACACCCAGGAAAGAATTCTCTGTAGTAACTCAGATCCCACCCCATCTAACATCCCATCACAGGCCATTGGACATATTTACCGCTAATAGTCAAAGATCAATTAATTGCCAAAATTAGGCCATCCCATCATACCATCCCCTCCATAAACTTATCAAGCTTAGTCTTGAAGCCAGATATGTCTTTTGTCCCCACTGCTCCCCTTGGGAGGCTGTTCCAGAACTTCACTCCTCTGATGGTTAGAAACCTTCGTCTAATTTAGAGTCTAAACTTCCTGATGGCCAGTTTATATCCACTTGTTCTTGTGTCCACATTGGTACTGAGCTTAAATAATTCCTCTCCCTCCCTGGTATTTATCCCTCTGATGTATTTATAGAGAGCAATCATATCTCCCCTCAGCCTTCTTTTGGTTACGCTAAACAAGCCGAGCTCTTTGAGTCTCCTTTCATAAGACAGGTTTTCCATTCCTCGGATCATCCTAGTAGCTCTTCTCTGTACCTGTTTGAATCCAGTTTGAATTCATCCTTCTTAAACATGGCAGACCAGAACTGCACACAGTATTCCAGATGAGGTCTCACCAGTGCCTGGTATAATGGTACTAACACCTCCTTATCTTTACTGGAAAGACCTCGCTTGATGCATCCCAAGACCGCATTAGCTTTTTTCACAGCCGAAGAGTGACGGAGAAGAGCCAGGGCCCGCTTCCCCCATCTGATCTAGAGGGCGCTGCCCTAGAGGAGCTCGGTCTCAGTGGCCAACAAGGGGGGGCTGGTCTGGGGGTGACATGGAGGCCCAGCCCACTGGCAACTGGGTGGCAGTAAATGCCCCCACATGGCGAGGTGCTCTTGGCCACGGCTGACATGGGAGATGGGGCGGGATTCGAACCTGTGGCTTTGGAGCTCCAAACCCCAGTGCTATTAATAGGGGCTTCATGACATTTCAATTGGCCAGCTAGCCCGGCAGGTGAGGGCAAAGGTCACTGGGGTGGGGGCACATCTGGAGCTCAATGCATCTCGGGGGGGGGGGGGGCATCACCCTATCCCTGTGGGACGAGGGCAGGAAGTAGACGGGCTACGCGAGGCCCCCATCCCAGCACCTCCCCGATCATCTCCGGAGCCTCAGTCCAAGGGAGTCCCGCTGCCAGGAGTTGCTGGCTCTAACCCCCTTGGACCAAGAGGTCTTCTTCTGCAGAGACTCAAGAGGGATCTCCAAGCAGAGCGTCATGGGGACTCCAGGTAGAATCTGCCCTGGCAGAAGACTAGAAAGTTTCCTTGGCCAGCTTAGGATCTCTTATTACCCCTGATCCGAACCCTTAGCCCCCCTGTTGTCTCCTAACCCTTTCTCATCTACTACCTCAGACCTGAACCCCATTCACAATCTACTACCCTTAACCCTCCTTATGACTTGCCACTCCTAGCTCCTGCCCCACCCAATCCCCCAGGAAGCAGCTGATCAGAGGGGAGCTGGGGGGAGGGGGAATTTCCTCAGCAAGGGGGAATCCCTGGCTCCGAGTTGGGGGTTGGGAAGCTGGGCGGGATCCCCCAGCCCAAAGAGGATTGTTGCAGTAGGAATCTTACCCTGTACCTCAAGCGACTTCGCATCTCCTTCAGCCTGTCTCGGGCATGGCTCTTGGCCTAGAGGAGAGAAGAAAGAGGGGTGACCAGGCAGGAGGCCATTCCTGGCTCTTTATGGTGTTATACAACTGTCCACTCAGAGATCCTGGCACAGACACACGACTGCATCCCCCTGCGATGCCCCAGCCCCGGGAATCCCCCGCACCGAGCCACGACTGCATCCCCCTGCGATACCCCAGACCTGGGACCCCCCACGGAGACACGACTGCATCCCCCTGCGATACCTCTGCCCCCGGGAACTCCCCCCCACACGGATAAGATCCCCCTGCTATCAGAGCCCAGTGAATGGGGAAGACCGTGTAGCCAGTTGGTGACCTTACGTATTTGTACATGTTCTTGACGGCTGGGTTTGTCTTGCTCTTCACAGTGTGGATCAGGGCCCCTCCGCCTTTCTGGCAAGACAAAGCACAGAGACATTGCTTTGGAGCGACCCCTGTAGGCCCCTGGTGCCTCCTGCAGTCCTTAGCTTTGTCTTTCCCCCTGACACAAGTAACCTGACCTTCCTGCCACTAGAGGGAGCCTGTGGGTGACTACAGTTGCGGCAGGAGTCACCAGGTGGCGCTGTCGCACACAATCTTTCTCTTAGCCGCGTTCAAGACACGCCACCTTGTTGCTAGTTTTGCAATGGTGTTTTCTCCGGTGGGAGCTGTTGCAAGCAGTGGGGGGTTGCTCTCTTCCATGGTCCTGCTAACTAGAATCAGCTGGAGGCCGGTGCTGTGACATGTGGTCTCAGCAGGCGAGCGAACGGTCCGTCATGGGAAGACCCACACTGCACATGGCAGTTAATTTGGGGGTCGTGCTAAGGCCCGGGGAGCAGGAGCTGGGACAGCAGCTGGACAGTTTGCTCCATCTTGATCTCTGACTGGCATCGATTCTTGAGGCAGTGTTGCACCCCGGGCAGGGAGTTTTGCAAGGGGCTGGGATTCCTGATTGAGGGGATCGGCCTGCGTGCAGCTGGTGACACCTCTGTTCCAAGACTGGTGGTACAGAGTGTAAATAAACTAGTTGCAAATATGCCCAGACGCCATATCACTGATTTCTCCTCCAATTGGAAGCTGGCATGTCAGGTGTTCGGCATCTGCTACCTCTCAAGAGAGAGGCAACCGTAGAACATAATATTGTCAGTGCATCTAAGCCACTGATGGCCCCTAAGGAGAAAGGAAGAACTTAGGGCTTGACCTTCTGTCACGGAGTTGGGGGAGACACCCCCGGCTTCCTGGATTCACAGCCAGGCAGTAAAACAGAAGGTTTATTAGATGACAGGAACACAGTCCAAGACAGGTCTTGCAGGTACAGACAACAGGAGCCCCTCAGTCAGGTCCATCTTGGGGGGCCAGGGGAGGCCAGGAGGTCTGTCTGGCCTCCCCTCCATTTTCCCAGCCGTCCCAAACTGAAACTCTCCAGCCCCTCCTCTCCGTTTGTCTCTTTCCCAGGCCAGGAGGTCACCTGATCTCTTTGTTCTTCAACACCTTTAGTTGGCACCTTTGCAGGGGAGGGACCCATTAGTTGCCAGGAGACAGGGTGTCGGCCATTCTCTGTACAGACACTCTCTGGCCCCCTAGGGCTCTGCAACAATCACACACCCCTAGACACTCGAGAAATGCATAGGGGAAACTGAGGCACCCACACAGCCCTCAGGGAAAACATTAAGAACATTCCCACTTCGTCACATCTCTATCCCACTTCGTCACAGCTTCTCAATCCACTATGGACACTCCAATGACTTCTGTGGAGCCGCTCCTGAGTTAACACGAATGGGATCAGAATCACGCTACTAACTGGGAGGTGGTGTGTCAGGAAGCACGTGTAAGTTACACGCCCCGGGGAGTTCATTTACACAGCGCGCAGTAAATTAAAGCAGGGCAGCAGCTACTCTCGTTCACCTCTTCTGTGACTTATTCACCTGCTCTTTCCCAGCCCGCAGGGTCGCGGGGGTTCGATCTTGGCCCCTCTCTTGTCAATGGGTCCGTCCTTTCACGGTGTAAAATGCATCAGTTGAACCTCAAATCTAATTCCCCCTGACATCAATTGCAAAATTCCCCTTGATTTCCAGGGGGGTCTGGATTTGGGCCCAGTTTGACCCATTTACTGACAGGGAACTTAACATGTTGCCTCGGAATAATTTGGCCCTTTGCTGCTAGCCGGCGAACGAGAAGCTACAGGTAATACTTAATGCAGCTAGGTTGGCATCATCACCATTTTACAGAGGGGGTAAACTGAGGCACAGAAAGGGGCAGTGACTCCCCCCAGTACCCCAGGTTACATTGCAAGTTAGTGGCAGGGCTGAATAGAACCCAGGTGTCCGGGCTCCCACTCCCCTCCCAGAGTTGGGAATGGAACTCAGGAGCACTAAATCCCAGCCCCTCTGCTCTAACCACTACACCCCACTCCCCTCCCAAAGCTGGGGCTAGAACCCAGGAGTCCTGGGTCTCAGTCCTGCACTCACACCACTTCACAAGCCTCTCCAGTGGACCCCACAAGCTGCTACCAGGCCTCGCTACCCCGTACACGGATCAAGCA